GTATATTATATATCACACACATCCAACAGGGAAGTATCAGTGGGCTTGGGAGAATTTCAAGATTTGCACAAGAACAGAGAAATCTTCAGGGGAAAGAAGCTACTAAAAGTGGTGGGCCCACAAGAACTGAATGACTATGTTCAGTGGCCACAAAATGGTGACTAGCTATTTTGAATGAAGACAAAAACCAGATAGCAGGGGAAGTGGAACATTGTAGAGGAGGGTAAAAATGGCTAAAGAGAAGCATTCACTGCTGCCAGAAATTTGTTGCAGGACCTGCTTATGTACATTAACAACTCTCCTGGTTTGTGCAGCCTTCATTTATTCACAGTCAGTCTATTTATTTTGAGAAGTCCTGAAATCCTACTTCATTCTGTTAACTCTTCTTTTGTAGGAACAGCCTGAAGATACTAAATATGACTACACTGATATCTATCAACAAAATCTTAACCTGGAGGGAAAAGGGTTATGTGCTCGAGCTCTGTATGACTATCAAGCTGGTAAGTTCTGTGTGCTTTGCCTTCTCTGTTCACCAAAATATTTGCCTTCAAATGAATCCTAGGATAAGCTTATACTTTGCCAGTCATAGAAGCAAAACATACAAATACAGAATCTGCAAATCAGAAAGCCAAATCAGATGTGGGATAAATTTGGTATTTGATTGTCAGATTTTTGCAAAGTGTATTTATTGGTAAAATAGGAATGGATTATTCTTACCTTCAACAAAGGTAATAATTTTAGACCATGGCACATATGAAGTAGATTAGCTATTCTGCCCTAATTTGATTGTTAAAGGATGGATGGAACCATAGGATATTGTAGAGATTAGGGAAAGGAGGAGCTAAAAATTATTAGTGGAGGAGTAGCAAGCTGTGGAGCATTAAAAAATCTTCCTTTTGTCTACCAGATCCTCCACTTAATACCAGCTTTCTTCAATTGCAATAGCAAGTACATTTCTATACCACTTATCAGTGCACTTAAGCACTCCCTAAGCATTTTATAGTGTGGAAGCTAATTGCCCCCAACAATTTGGGTACTCATTTTAGTGACTGCAGAAGGATGCAAGCCTGAGTTGAGCCTGAGCCCCTGGCTGTATTGAATTCACAACCTTATGGTTTGTAAATGAGTGGCTGCAGTACAGGCATTTAACCACTGCGGCACCAGGGCTCTTCACTAAATGCTAACAGGTACTGTCTGCACCTTTTTTTATCTGCCACCATAAGAGCTATATCCTACCTCCTTTAAAAATGGGAAGAGAGTTCTTAGGAAATAGGTGTATGGTTTTAATTTTTTGGTAGAAGAGTCATCCTCTTACAATGGCAACTACATGGATTGTAACTGTGGATAACAGTTCTTAATGATAGCACAAAGCAGGATTGTGGGGTAGCTTCAAAGAAAACCTCTGTCTCTGAGTCTGTGTTTAGCTAAAAATTGATTGAGTTATGGTATTTTTAACCAGTTCAAAAGCTCATGATAGGATACAGTGGAAGAGACAGTCCCTTAAGTGTGTCGGGATAGTTTTAAATGACTTCATAATTCAAAACGTTTTTAAGGGAGCCAGTGTGGTGTAGTGGTCTGAGTGCTGGACAAAGGATCCAAGGGACCAGAGTTCAAATCCCTGCTCAGGCATAGAAACCCACTGGGTGTTCTTAGGCAAGTCAAAACTGGTTCTGAAAGATTGTACATACTTTATACAAAATATACTAAGTGGTGATGTAAAGTTTCTATTAGCACACCTCTACTGCAAGTAAGATTGCTTGATAATGCAAAACCTTGAGTTTTTTGACAGTTAGTAAGGACAACCCCACACAGGATATGCATTATTGGAATTTAGTATTTTCTTTATACAGAATATTGGCTAACTAAAATGTCCAGCTGGAGAGTATTTGGCAAGCTGAGTTGCTGTTTGGATGTTCTTCGGCATCTAAAGTTACAACAGAACTTGATAGCAAGACTTAAGCCATCTTTCTAAAGGTGACTTCCACTGATCACTGTCATTATAGATAGGTCAAGGAATTGTAGTACAGTGATGAAGCGCATTCGTTACCTGAGATTCAGTCACCAACTTTTCAAGTTATAAAAGGCTCAAGTAAAAGGTGATACAAAAAATAATAATCAGATCTTGGAAAATTTGTGCCATTCAGTATAGACAATATCAGTAGATGTACAGGTAATCTGACTAGAGCTCAGGAAACTTACCTTTTTGGACTGTGCTTTCCAGAATCCCACAGCCAACATGGCAAGTGGAGTTATCCAAAACTTGGAACTCTTGAGTTTTATGTTACAACTCCTATAAAAGCTTGGTTGATTTTCTCTTGTGTTATCTGCCCTTCCCCTTGATTAGAATCTCTGTGAATATCAATGTGAGTTAATTTTTTAAGTAGTCACATGTATCCATTCCTGCTGGGCCTGAATTTGGCTGTATCTGCCTTTCAGCTGATGACACTGAGATCTCTTTTGACCCCGAGAACATTATTACCAACATTGAGATGATCGATGAGGGCTGGTGGCGTGGTTATGGTCCTGATGGCCACTTTGGGATGTTCCCTGCCAACTACGTGGAACTCATTGAATAAGGGGCAATGCTGGAGGAAGAACACAAGCAATACTTGAAAGAAGGACTCTGTCAGATCCAATTTTTTGAGGTGAAATTATGTGTGGCTTTTTAAGAGTGAAGTGCCATTGCTCTGTGCCCCTGTAGCTGGAGCACCATCTGTACCTGCCCAGTGATGCAGAACTCTTTCTTTGCCTTCTTTTCATTTTCCTTAACTGGTATTTTCAGGTGAAGAATAGGAAATCAGTCTTGGCAGTACATAATACTTTCCTTCTCCTAGGGCTAAAGGCATTGGCCCAAAACATCCTTTCAAGACACGGGACCAAATTATTTTTTCAACACCAACATGGAGTATTCAGGAGGTAGGAAAGGCTTAATAGAAGCAGGAGGGCTTTCTGTTTCTATTCCGTTTCAGCTTTCTGAGATAGCATAAGGCATCTTTTTAAAAAATGCCTACTTCATTGAGCAGCTTGTTAAAATTTAACCTTGAAATCCACAACCCACTTATACCAGTGGTTTGCTTGGGAGAAAATGGATTGCAAGTTCAAGCTTTTTGAGATCCAGTCTGCTGGCAGCTGCTCAGGGCAAGTCCAGAATGATGGAACTGTGCAAGATATGTGCAGTATTGTGCAACTCCCTTCCATTTCAGTGAATAATTCTTCAATGGAAGATTGTGCCCTCAAACCCCATCCTTTGTGTGAGGACCAAGCTACTTGGCTTTTAAATCTTGGATACTTGTGGAAAATCTCCTCTTGCTTTAGAGCAAAAGCCTTCCACTCAAATTTTTTGAGACATGGTTCCAGACACAAATTCCATCAAGACAGGCAGTAAATGAATGCCTTGAAAGCAATGCTAGCTTTGAATTGTGGTGGACATGCTTTAAATAGAATGCTGTGTGTGTGTGTGTTGTGTGGTCTGGTTAGTAGAGGAGGACTTTGATTTCTGTGTTATCTTTTCTGAGATTTTAAAAGCCTTATTGCCTTTAGATAGGATTTTGATTAATTTCTCCCTTTCCCCCTTTTAAGGTAAATAGTTGAATGAAATAGAATATAAAGAAGCCTTGGGTAACTGAGTCACTCAGGAGTGGCATAACTTTTGCTGTGATAATTGTATGACACTTGGCATTGCTAATCATGTTGATACCATAAAAGCATTTGTGGCACATCAGGAATCAAACATTGCGTTTTAAATGACATCTGCCAAATTTACTGAGCACCCCTCATCCATAACATGGATATGGATATAGTTTTTAAAAGCAAAATGAATTAGCCACTTCTAACATTCCATTTGTTTTGTCTTGCTCAAGATAGTTCTGAAGAGATTCACAAGCAACTTTGAAAGAGAGAATGGATTTTATAGAGGAGAATTATGCCATTTGCTTGAGGGAGCAAAACTAATGGTCTAGCAAGGTTAAATTCAATTCTCTCCTCCCTTTATGCATGATGTGGTAACAATTATGTTAACAAAAGATTAATGCAACTCTCTGTTAATATACTCCAGCTAGTTTTCCTTTATGGCAATTTTTAAAATAATGGTTTTTAAAAATGGTATGTAGAAGCTGCTCACTATTTAATTCCCAAATATTCCCCCTTTTCCCCCATTTGTGGAAGCTGAACCTGAATTACCTACTCAATTTCTGGAAAAGGTTGCTGTTTTAACCCTTATCTCCACTACAGTAGTTTGCAAATTAGTGAGAACCTTTTAAAAACACTGCCTGTGTTAACTTTCCTTATAGAACTAAAAAAAAATTATGAGGCCTTCCCCCTTGTTCCTTTTGGCATGGCAGCTTTGGAGGACTCTTGATTGTACTTGTAAAAGAAAATTCTATTTACTTTTGATACAATACAGGAGTGTGCCCTTGAGGATAGCTGTAGCAGCCATCAGTGGCTTCCTAGGGATTCTTGAGAGCTACTTTTTGTTAGAATTGCCAAACATCATGTGGAATCATTGCTACTTGAGTTGTTGCTATTCACTGTGCCTCTTGCCTTTGTTCAAATCCTCCTCTTTTTCCAGCCTTCTGCCATGCATGAAGATTTGGGGTGGGGGAAAAAAGGTTGTGACAGGATAATATGGCTAATAATAAAATTAAAGATGATCAAAACAGTTCTCTATGAAGTATGCTTCTGTGTATATACTTTGTTTGCTTGTTTCAAGTGAGTACAGGATAAGTCCAATCCTGCTTTGGGTAGAGATGTGCACAGAGCTTGGGGACTGTTTTTTTTTTTTTTTTTTTTTACAACTCTCAGAATCCTTTGGTGGCCATGCTGATTGTGGAATTACTGTCCAAAACAGTAATTTTCTTACGCTTTGACTACATGACCCTCTGAGAGCTTTTCATATCTAATCAATGGTATCACTAGGGGCGTGCAGGACTGCACTGGGTGACACCTGGTTGGACCTTCTCACCATGCCATTGTGTCGTTCTCCTCATGGGAAAAATGATGGGGCAGCCCTGAGGAAGGCCAAGTGTGCCGTCCCCAGAAGTCACAACCCCTGGAGCCCTGTCCCCACACAAGGTGACATCAGGGATGGGGATGTCATGGTTCCATATTTATCCATACATAAAGCAGAACAGTGAAATCAGGGTATATTTCATGGTGACTAACATGCCATTGATTTTGGTTGGTCTTCTCTAAGTATGAGTATATTACAGGGTTTTTTACACCATTGAAATAATCTTGCTCACCCCACATTCACCCCTGGTCAAACACATATTGTTTGACTCGTTCTGGGGCAGATGCCAGCTTTTTCTGGCAAAATCAGCAGGGGGAAAAAATGTAGTTTACTCCAGGCTTTCCTAATAATGTGGATAATTGGATGTGTGTGGCTGTGTTCCAAAGTGGCTTTGCATTGGCTGCAGAAAGGAGCTGAACAGGCTATGACCAGGCTTGCTGGTTACATTACTTTTTTCCACTAGAGAGTTCCCAAATGCAGAATGCAAGTTGGAGTAGCATGAGTGACCTTTTTTAAAAAAGGCTGCCAGCATGTAGATAAGTGCTCACTTGTCTCTGTGTTTTTCTGTAATCGCTGATGCAAATCTGAACGATGGCTGAATCCATGCAAAGAAAAAAGAAAGGTGATAGAGGAGTTTCATGGACCTGAGAGAAAACACTGGATTTGAGCTCATTGTGGGGTGAGGAAAAAGTCCAGGAACAACTCAGAGAGTGTCATAGAAATGTTGATGTTTTTGAAATATCAAAGGGAGCAACGGACAGTGGGAAACAGTGTTGACCATCTCATAGACCATGGGAAATGACTTGCCTACTTGCCGATTTACAGAAAAAGGGGAAAGAGTATTTTGGTTTTAGAAAGAGGGAGGAGGAGAGACAGAAGACTTCAGGAGGAGAGGGCCAGCAGGGAGAGGGATCACATAACCAACTGCATAGAGACACGGACTACTGAGGGTAAAGTTGGATAGGGAAATGTGCAGGATTCAGAAATGACAGCTGATGGTTTGTTTTCTCCAGGCACTTCTGCAGCACTTCTACAGGTGTTAAAATTACCTGTAACCACAAGGAAGGCAAAGGAAGTCCAGCAGAGAAAGGTGCCCATCCTATACTCATATTAACAAATGGTTCATTCAAGTATATCTCCACAGCACATGCTCTTATACATGAATCAGAGTTTTAAAAGTCTAGTCTAGCAATTGCATGTGTATGTGTGTGTGTAAGAGAGAGTATTTTCTTAGCATTTATGTAAATTTGAAATAACCTTAGATTAATGTTGCCTGTAATAAGAGCATTTCTGCATTGTTTCTATATTAACATATGTGAACCAATAAAATAAAATCATTTCTACAAATAATGTGTATGTACCGTATTTTTTGGCATATAAGACGCATTTTTTCTTCCCCA